ATATCTTGAGTTCATTGGGCCCCTAGGCAGGAACCTATGAACGTATGATGTGTTCTTTGGGACTCAAAGAGTTAACTGGTGTAAAAATGATATTTTACTAACACAGCACTTTTACAACAATAAAAAACAAAAACAGAATCACATGTTTGATTGTTTATTTAGAAACAAAAATCACCTAATGAACCCGAGCCAGCTCGGTATTGGTTATGTATGAAATGTTTTCTGTTACTAAACAACAGCTTAGAAAGCAGATATGAAAATGACTAATTGTTAACTATGCAGAAAGGCACAACGACATATGAAGTAGGATAGCAACATAGAAACACTCGGCAATACAAGAAAAGCTCGTATGAACAGCTGCTGGAGAAAAACCCACCCAGAAATAGAGTGCTTGAAGGCTGTAATGAAGTAAGACACCGGAAGTGATAAATTTAATAGCTAGAGAAAAAGTATATTATTACATATAGCATTCATTTAACTGCTTTTTATTATTTAAAAAACATTTATACCACTATTAACTGTTAGCTATTTGTTAATCTAGGGGCTGTTGTCAGCTCTCTACTAATTTTATGGTCAGCCATGTACTAATCTTAAGATTATAAACTACCAGCGAAACCCCCACTATCCATTTGTTGTAACATTGCTTTTTTCACCACAAATCAAATGTTGAAACTACACTAATGTACATGTCCCAAATCAATAATTAAAGCATTACAAATGTGCCACAATGAAGGTTGGCTGGGTGTACCACTGCTGTTTTTAGGAATACTATCTGGTGAGGCTTCAATCTCTTCCATGGTGTGACTCTTGTACAAAAGTCCACAAACTGCCAGCATGGCTCTTTTCTAATTAACCATCTACTGTGGCAACTGAACCCTAGCACTTGAGGAGTGTTAACATTCTTTGCCATGCTGAATATGTCCACTAACCTCAAAGCCAGACTTGAGGAGTGTTAACCTTCTTTGCCATGATGAATGTGTCCACTAACTTCAAAGCCAGACTTGAGGAGTGTTAACCTTCTTTGCCATGATGAATGTGTCCACTAACTTCAAAGCCAGACTTGAGGAGTGTTAACCTTCTTTGCCATGATGAATGTGTCCACTAACTTCAAAGCCAGACTTGAGGAGTGTTAACCTTCTTTGCCATGATGAATGTGTCCACTCGACTAACTTCAAAGCCAGACCTGAGGAGTGTTAACCTTCTTTGCCATGATGAATGTGTCCACTAACTTCAAAGCCAGACTTGAGGAGTGTTAACCTTCTTTGCCATGATGAATGTGTCCACTAACTTCAAAGCCAGACTTCATCAATTATAAAGAAAAAAAAAATTGAAACATTTGAAAGAATGACTGTTTGGCTAAAACTATGCCTTTAAGTTTGAATCCTACTAGGAAATCAATGGCATTCAAGGAACTGTTTTTACCTACATGTTTAAGATATGATATTTCTCTCTAAAAACATTTGTGTGACAGATAAAATAACACCATGGGTGGCAGTTTTCTTCTTTGTTTGTCTTTGTGCCTTATAAAACCAAAGTTACTGAAGTGACTTTAGAAGCAAATGTCAGCAGACTTGTACATAATAATTTATATTTTAACTACGCCTCTTGTACAACCAGCATACAATGGGTGAGGCTGTAACAATACTTTGTTTTCTTCACTTTATGTCCAGCACAAAGTAAAACAAATAGTTAAAATACATACAGTACAAAATAACTTTCTTGAACAAATCTCAGATTACAAACTGTTCTCTATATAAAATAGCCTTGGAACACTTCAGCTTAATTACTTCTCCAACATTAAACAAAATGTATTATTTTCTTTGAAACATGTAACACACTTTAAATCTTCTTTTAACAGTCAAAATCTTGATCTTAACGAACAGAATTACAATTTACAAAACAACTGATCATTTTGTATAATTTTGGCTCTCTTAGAAATCAAAATTAAAAAAAAAATTGTTTTAATAAAATTAACTGCAGAATTTATATTTTAAAAAGTTTAGTTCTTGATTTTGAAATCAATGGAATGTGGTGAAATATGCCTAACAGTTCTGACCTAAAATACTGACGGTGCATAAGTAAACAATGAATGCATATATATGCTCAGTGGCCCTATGTCCAGCATGGTTCCACTTGCAGAACATATGATTATGTCAAAATGAGGCTACATACTGTAGTGCAACTGTTTTGAGCAACACTTACACAACAGCAACATTCACAGTTAGCATTCAATAGCAATAGTTATACAGGCTGAGTGCAAAGTAACACTGAAACATCACTGGTGGTTGCTTATGCCTTAGAACATCTTATGTGACAGCAAAATGATTCTTCAGTCAATGAAGACAAAAATGATAGCAACAGATGAAAATCACATAAACCATCTTTTTTTCCCCACACATGAAAGATGATATATGTAAAGTGATCACAACATATCAATATCCTGTTCATAATCCTTAAAAAAAATCAAACATAGTATCAGTTCTGATAACAAACTTATAACATGTTGACAAGACATGACCAAGGATGCTAATGAGAACATTCATATATTATGCTGCACACTGACATTAAGAGTAAATATACTTCAAACATTATGAAATAATCATCTGTAATTCATTTCTTTTGCCATAAAACAACCTCTACATTTTTGTTTAATTCTGAAAAATGAAATAAAATTATAAATGCAAAATATATAACCTAATGAAATGGTTGGGGCATACTGAAAGAATTTCAGATGACAGAGAAGTAAAAACTGTATGCACAAGAGAGATGATTGGTCGTAGACCACGAGGCAGACCAAGAAGAACATGGAGATATAATGTCCAGAAAAACCTGAAAACAGTTGGCGTCATTAAGTGGAAACAGAAGGCCAACCAGAGAGATGAATGGAGGCTGCTGATATCTGCAGCAAAAAACCTCAAAGGCTCAGAATGCTGAAGAAGAAGAAGAAATATATAACGTGAGTCTAACACAGAAATGTTTATATACTTTACAAACATACACTGTCAGTTCTCTTGTACTAACAAAGATAGTTAGCCAGTGCATAAGAACAGATTTGAAAAATATATGTATTTAGAAGTTTGGCTAAATTAGTAATATAAAATTAGTAATATAAAATTAGTAATATAAAATTAGTAATAGAATGGCCAAATGCCATTCAGACAACTGAGATGTATTGCCTAGCCTATATTTTTGTTCATATCAATTTGAGAGGTTATGGGTTCAAACAGACCAAGTGTCTCTACTTTTGCTGCCAATCTGATCAGGCAGCAAAAGTGGGGATGTAGGGACAAAGAAATGAGACATACTGGCAACTGAATACTAGGACACACTGTTGGTAAATCAGATCACAGGAAAATATCTTCACTGTATATTATTATATTTAATTTAATCAAAAGTGTAGTTAAAAACAATTTAATTTTCAACATTAACACAATTTTAGTAGAAATGAATTTTTCTAGGTTTATAAAAAAAAATTTAGAATAATTTAGCTATCAAACCTAATAAATATAGGAACTGTCCAGGCTAAATAAAAAAAAAATCTAAATGTAATAATTATTCTCAACTTAACTCTTTGAGTTATAAGGAATGCATCATACATTCATTGGTTTGTACCTAAAAGCCCAACAAAAGCAAGATGCATCTCTCTTGACACCCCTTGGGCCTCTGATGCTAAACCCATTAGGACTCGAAGAGTTAAATTTAAAGGCTTTTTGAAATTTACAATATAAACAAAGTAAGCATAAATTTCACTAGCTTCAGCACTGCAAGGAGTTGACTGATTGCTGTTCAACCAAATACTGTAAGTAAACACACAGTTTTCTTTTATACTGTAGATCAAATTGCTAATTATTTTAATACAAAAAGTTTCAAGACCACAGAATGAAGACAATCACATGACAACATACATAACATATTAAAATATTAATTAGGAATATAAGTATGAACACTTATTAACTAACATATTTCATAAATATAACACATTCTCAAACTATGTACTATAAACATATATATGTGTATGTGCATATATATATATATATATATACACATACACACACATACACATATTTATGTATGTATGTATATTGTTAAGGTAAGGCAAGAGCATAAATTAATGAAACAGAAACAATGAATGGTTTTTAAAAAAATGACAAATATTTAAAAAGTAAAAATGTCTTGTTTAGACTTCTTTTGTTTCTTCAGATTGTTTTTTTAAAAGAGACATTCACTAAGATAAATTAAGCACTCATTGCCAGAGTTTATACTTTCTAATGTAAAAGCATATTAAATTATTGTATCTTAGAATACTTTTCATGTGCTAAAGAGAAGATACAACTTATCAGTAAAGAATCAGAGTCAGGCTTTGAAGCAAGGCGTTCACCATCACTACAAAATGATAGAACTCAGAAAGAAGGATATAGGCAAACTACTACAATTGTTCCTGGCCAGCTGATACTCATCATCGTATGACTGTCTTGCAGCATTGTGACCTTTGACCTGAGACATCATCAGCACCGACCCGCTGCACCAAATGATGTAAGCCCAGAATCAAGTTTGCCCCTCCCGCATTGGTATGACCTTTGACCTGAGACATCATCAGTACTGTCCTGCAGCAGCAAATGACGTGGGCCCAGAGTTAAGTTTTCTTTTTCCGCAGCTGTATGACTTTTGACCTGAAACATCATCAGTACCATCCTGCAGTACCAAATGATGTGGGCCCAGTCAAGTTCGCCGTTCCCGCAGCTGTATGATCTTTGACCTGAGACATCATCAGTACCGTCCTGCAGCACCAAATGATGTGGGCCCAGTCAAGTTTGCCGTTCCCGCAGCTGTATGACCTTTGACCTGAGACATCATCAGTACCGCCCTGCAGCACCGAATGATGTGGGCCCAGAGTCAAGTTCGCTGTTCCTGCAGCGATGTCACAAGAGTACACATGACAATATGCCATACAGTGTGAGAGGAAAGTGTGTAAAACAAAGTCTGTGATACACCAGCGGAGCCTACTGGCCGTGTTTGATCAGATCCAGGGAACCTGCTGAAGATAACAACAGAAATTTATTAAAGAAGACATGTACAATGCAAACAAATTTGTTAGAGAAAATATGAAACAAAGCACTTAAAAAATATAATATAGAAAACAATAGCAGATCATTTCTGAAATATGGTGAAAAGGGCAGAATGAAACCTGGCAATACAAACAAACATAAAAACTTTATTATTACTGTTGTAGTTCAAAAAGAAATAGGTAGTTGTAGTTAAAAAAGGATAGATGTTGTTAAAAAAGTTAGTTGCTGTTGTTAAAAAAGGAACCACTGGGGTAAAGTGGCTAGATGCTTTGCCTGCCTGTCCAGGGATGTTCAGATCAAATATTCACAGAGGTTGATTTTTATAATTAACCTAGAGCCACAGCCCAAAAGTGGTAAAAAACAAAATGTTCCAGCATCCTGAGCACAACACCTATTATGTGCCAAAAGGTTCTATAAAAATACGGGCATCTATACATGGCAAATGCGCGGACAGAACAAAAAAATAGGTCCTTTAGTTTAAAAAAAAATAAAATTCTGTAAACAGTTGAAGCCTTTTGGGTAATATCTTTATAATTATCATATAATTATCAGAATTTTCTGGAAGAAACATGATGAGAAAGGGGAAACTAGCCACTCTGCCTCATGATGTAACCTAGAATATGTGAAAGCCTCACATTTCGCACTAATAGAAATATCTGCCTGCGGGGAGGGTTTGGAAGGGGGTGGGGGGGGGGTGTCTATTTTTTATCATGGTCATTATCATCATCATTTATTCATTATTTTTGTGCAGAACTTTAACACCATAGCAGACTTTGAAGTTATTAGAAATACTGCCGCTTCTGCTGTAATCTGTAAATAATCTAATGAAGGCACCTGTAATGACATCTTTCTTGTCTCTGCTTCCTCAGAACACCTTCCAACATGATTACCTTCTTCACACTGTGAACTCTTTTTTTTTTTTCAATCCCAAATTTTCTATAACCTTCAATTTTTTTTAGATTGCCACAGTATTCAAGTTATCTGTAAAGAAGGTACTCTCGATAACTGCAATACATTATTCAAAAGATCTTAACAAAAAATATATTAAATAAGCATAAATAATGGCTTGTTGTCATCATCCTTTGAGGAGTCACTTGTAGGTTCACCATACACCATGCCAGTTGGCATTTAAAGTCAGTTTGCCATCTGTTGTAACATACTTTAACACTGACTGTCAATAACTGTACTATTGACTGTCACTTACCATGAGGAGATCCCCAGGAGTTTATCATGAAGCCCAGTTTAAGCTCATCAGAAAAGCCAACAACATCCTGGTCCTTGATGTCAGTACTGTGTGCTCCCGTCATCTCACCCTGGGTACCCAGGACACTCATGGCCATGTTCAAGGCAAAACTTGGACTGTCCACAATCAAATCATCCTCTCCTGCCAGCGAAGAGATGCTTGACTGTGGACTGAACTCCTCCGATACATGCTGAACAGTCATAGGCTCTGATGTGGTGCAGCCTGTCTTCCTCGCATAAAAAGATTTGTAACAAGTTTTCTTATACTCAGCCTCTAGTATGTCTTCTTTTGTGACGGACTCCATTGTTGAACTTCTCTCCTCCACGTGAACTGGAGTGATGTCCATTCCATCATCTGAGAAGTAGCTCAGTAGATCATCAATGCTCTCCTGTGATGCAGTCGACACTGGGGAAGAAGCCATGGTACTGGACACCAGCATGTCTTTATATCCATTAGCTGTCAATGGTCCACTGGCAGCACTGTTGTTAACATCTGGATACTGAAATGCCAAAGCAGCTTTAGCATTCACAGTTTTTATTGTATAAGATGGTGGCACTGACAATGGAGTGTGAGGGTGAACCTGAGGCTGGGGTGTTGTTTTTGAAATGCTGAGCACAGTAGAGTTCTGGTAACAGACAGTGGAACTAGTTTTCTCAACTTTTAGTGCTGCAAAATGTGGAATATTTTCAGTTTGTGCCTGATCTTCTGGGAATTCCTTCTTAACTTGGTATTTCAGCTGAGCTTCCATCTTGACTGATGCCTTTGCTTTCAATTCTTCAGGATTGAGGTTTTCGAAAAAGTTGTCAATTTCAAAGGCATCAAAAACTGGAAGCTCCTTCCTTCTCTGAGCAAGCTGAGCTTTCTCTCCCACATTTGCTTGTGGAAGAGCAGCAAGTTTTTCCAATGCCTGAAGAATGTTCACTGTTGGTTTTTCTGGAGCAACATTCTCTTCAGGATCCATCACCTCTGCCTTCACGGTTGTATACAAAGGCTGTGGGGACGAAACTGGTGATGGGTCTGGAGTCAGGTAAGACTCTGGAACATTGAGGTCAGGAACCACTTGCTCAGAGATCATGGCACTGAACCTTGATACGCCCTGGTAGTTAAGTTGTTTCAAGGAGATTTTATTAGACGTCATCAGTCCAAATCTATAGTTTTCTGGCTGCATGACCTGCATCATCTGATTCTGACATTCCACATGGGAAGAGGCTGAAACATGGCTATAGTGTTCCATGTGAGAGATGCCATGGTCCATCTCTGTGTAACCAGATCCTCCAATTGAGCCATCAACATCCCAACTCACTTTTGCCAACTTTGTAGGTTTGCATGATGCTGACTGTGGCCCCTGAATCTTTCTCTTCAGCATAGCTTTCAGCTGGTCCAGTTGAACAAAGGATCCAGGATTAGACAGGGGATAGCCAACTGTTGGCTTGCTGACTCTGCTGGAACAGACTGCTGTGGAGCAGGTAGCTGGGTACATATCCAGATGCCCTGTGTGGGTAATATAATTGGGTACATCACTGGTGTAACTAGAAACTGGAAGAGTGTTGGATCCCCTTTGCTGGACCCACTGTCCGCTCATGGGGTCCTGATTTGGGGAGGTTACTGCTGGCAGATGGTTTCCCCACATCTCATGAGCCCGACTGGGATACATAGAAAACAAATGTCCCTGAACCTTGATCTGGTAGGCTTCGTGAGCACTGCAAGATAAAAGATTACATTCATTTTTAAGGCAAATAGAATTTTCTGGGAAAGAAATGTAACTCTCTGAGTCCCAGAGGGTTTAGCATCACAGGCCCAAGGGGTAGTCAAAAGAGACGTAAAATCGGCACATCATGCTTTCATTGGGCTTCTAGGCAGTAATCTATGAACGTATGATGTGTTCCTTGAGACTCAAAGAGTTAAGAAGGAAGAGAACTGACAACCCCACCAAATATTTCACGACCTAGAATATGTGAAGTTCTAACATAGCAGTATCTGCTAGGAGGCTATTCCCATACACATAAACTGCTAGTTTCTTGCAACGTCATTCTAAACATCATCTACAATTTATATTTTTTTTCTTTACCTCCACAAATATTTGCCAATGACTTATTACTTCTTTAGTCATATTTCAAGAGAATAACATCATACTTTCTTCTTCTGCCCATTATTCTCCCAATGGAGCATAGGCCCTCAACAAAGTCATCCTACGTCTGCTATTGCACACAGTTCACTCCATATCCTCCTTATCTTTTTAACTTCATTTTCTAGTTTTACTTTACATTTCTCCAGCTCTTGTTTCACTGGAATTTGTTTAGTTCTCTCCTAAACCAGCCATGAAAGAGTTTGTTTCTTCTTCTTCTGTTTGTTCTCCCTGCCAATGGTTTTCAGATGAGAAGGCCACAGCCTCTGTGAAGTCTGTGGTGCGGCACATGCCTTTAACTGATCCATTCAGCTTGGTTTTCACTGGTATATTTGTGACACGTATTTATGGACAGTTTATTTTGTTTAATCACATTGCCCATCTGTTAGGAATAGACATTCACACCCAAAAATTATGCTAAGATACCAGAACTGGTAGTGACATTAGTCACTATTAGCCACCTCACAAGAAGGAGAGAGAGAGAGGGGGGGGGGGGGGGGAGAGAGAGAGGGAGAGAGAGAGGGAGAGAGATAGGACAGAGAGAGAGAGAGAGAGAGATTCGATGGACAAGTGAACCCAATGGAAATTATACAAATGTTAAACCTTTAACTTAAGCTGGTAACTCTTTCAGTGAAAAAAGGCCTCACAGCATAGGCTCAAAGGAGGAAATAATGACCATGACAAATTATCAGACAATTACTTTCAGACTAAATACACAATGCAAGCGATCTATGGTAAGGCCAGGTTTCTTAACAATGCTGAGATCAGATATAAAATGTGAGAGGACACATTGCACGTTGGATAGGATTCACAGAAAATAGCTGATCAAACATCATATATTGCTTGGGGTAGAAAGAGTCAACAAAACACAGACTGATAAACCTGTGACAGTCTTTCCCATTTGGCGGTCTGCTGGCCCCAGGTGTCTATGGAACAATTTTTAGGGGTCCGTGATATCATTTGGAAATTTAAAAAAACCTTAACTTTAGAATGCCATCCTCCCTGTGTGTCTCCTGGGACTCTACTGTAGGGAAAACAAGAATAGACCCACTAGCTCTCTTACAAGCATGTCCTAAGAGTTGACTAGTTAGGGGTTTCCTTTAAAGTCGAAGTGCATCTACCAGAATGGTAATGAACTAACAGTCGGCACATAAATAAGTCAGATCTGTAAACTAGATGTGCATGCAACACTCAGGTTCTGGAACAAGACTCAAGTCCAGAGGTGGACGAACAACCAGAACCATCCATTAGAGTTTACAGTCAGTGAACCCAATGGAGAAGCATGCAATCCTTTCTGTGATTCTAATATTTAACGATTGTGATAAGTTTTTCAATAGGACTTCTAAAATGTAGAGAGGCCTTCGGCAGTTCTTCAAAAATATGATGGGTCCACGGGTTTAGCTAATTGGGAACCATTGCTTTAAGCCCCCGGCTTTTTAAATACTAAAATGTTATCAACAAGATGGTTCCTCCTGTGTCATGACCCTGCACTTCTAATGAGCCACAAATAACCCAAAAAAAACTTACTCAATGACCTGGTTGACACAAACGATGAGTGGCTCTTCATTCTGAGACAGAGTTGCTTGTCGCACATGCATGACGGTGTTCACCCAAAAACTGCTCCCATCAAGTCTCAACAAGCGCACAGTGAACATACACCCTATCTCGTGGTTGGAGCGAATCACTGGAAAGCAAAAAGTGGAAATACAATTTTATTTCTAGGGAATCAATAATCCTGGCAGAACATGCTCAAATCTAGCAATTTTACTTGCCACTACTGCCTTGTAACAATTTTAGAGGCATGAAGTTAGATTTGATTTTTGCCCTTATGTTATTTTTCATAATAATAAAAATAATAGCAATAAAAAGAACAATTATAAATCTGCAGCAAATTGTGGATTGGTAATAAAGACCCAAGGTAGGAGGCGCTAACTTCTGCTTATAGTCAACATCACGTGGCATTTGTTATCATGACCATCCTGAGCTTTCTGTCTTGTGTACTGTTAATTATTTAGATATAAAAATTCTTCCAAGTCTTGATGCCTAACCTGCATCTTCCCTCCTGGTCTTCCACTAAATGTCTTTCGCTTCAACATTCCTACTTGTTACTTGTCCATATCGACATTGTAGCACATCAGTCTGACTCATCTATGCTCCATCCTCCAATGCAGCAGCCAGGAGCTCAATGTGCCCAATAGGAATTCACTGGCATATCTTCTTTCTTTGTACCACTTAGAGGCAAAGTTAAAAATAAAAAAAAATAAAAAATGCTTAGCTGGCAACAGTTAGGTAAGCAGTGCTTAAATACAAAGTATTCTGACCAAAATGTATCCATTTCCTAACAACAATTTTACAGCAGTTCTATCAATATCATTTTGGGCTTTTCCAGTGACTTGACTTACGTGTCTGCTCTTTCATGACTTTATATGTGATTCACTGTCATTATTTTAGGTGTCAGATAAGGTATGTATGTTCTCACAGATTGTTTTCAATTGCTGTTAGTTCAAACAGACTAGGTGTAATTTTTAATTTGATCTCTTTTGTCAATAGAGCTCACTTTTTCGCATTTTACATTACTTGGTTTCAGCCGCATCACATATTTTCATAGAAACTGTCACAAGTGCACCACATATTTGCATACAAACTGTAAAACTTTTAATATATTTTGTTACTTAAAAAAGTGGAATGAGTCTCTGAAGAGATCATGGGTGTCAATTTTGTGCCAGGGCATGCTGATATAAGAAGAAGTTTGAAGAGCAGATCAACATTATGGCACATGGTTAAGTAACCCATAAGTGATCCATTCTTCTTCTAACTCAAGTATGTCCTAAGAAGCTCAGCACAGTGCACAGGCTTTCTAGCACTGGCGGGGATCCTGAAATACTTCGGGTAGATTTGAACTCTACATTTTTGCCTGTGCAGCGCTGTTAGGCTACATTTTCAATTTCCAACTGCCAAGGAATTTTTTACCTGGGCAACAATGCACATAGGCGTCCTATCTCACTACCCAGAGACCAGGGAGAATTACTAGAAAACCGTCCACTGGAAAAAATCCCAGCCCTTACCAGGTATTGAACCCAGGACCTCTAGCACTCGAGGCACACACCATGCCCAAAGAACACGCAGCCCCCCCCCCCCTCTCTTCCCCGATGTAGGAAGAAATGAACAAGCCAACACACTTGCTGATTGAGAACGGGTTGGTGGGGAGCGCAACTATGTCAAAAGTTAACAAGAAATAAATGAGACTGATAAACCAAATAGTCTGAGGGGCAGGCAACTGAAAGACACATCAAGATGTGACTGGCAACCCTGACCCTGCAATGACAGCAAGCCAAAAGGAGTGAAGTCAGAAACCAGCACCTAGGGTGTCCATGAAGACTAGAAAAACAACACAGTACTAATGTTGCAAGTCTCACATGATGACAGGTATCTTGAGTACAGGATCAGAGTATTTTCACATTGAGACGGATATACAATCAGACTGTTACTGGTACCATCGGAATTTTAACTCTGTGCTTGCTGCTGAAGATGGGAACGGAGCACTTATGGGAGTGTCCAGAGTGCTGTGATGTTGATTCTTAATTTAACATTCAGTTATCAGTGATAATATAAATGACTTACACTGAATATGCTTCTCTTTGGCTTCATGAATGTCTTCTGGGTGAAGCACAGAGTACCATGACTTCTGGTTAAGATCCTCGGATGTGCAGCCAAGGTGATACTCTCCACTGGAATAAATTATCATTATTCTCACAACCACTGTATTCATATCTGCCAATGTTCACTAATACAAAATCATAGTTAACCTGACAGGTGCACAGACATGCACATACACAAAACACTTTCTGATGACAGGTGCACATGCATACAGGCACAACATTCATTCTAATGATAGGTTCACATGCACAAAGACACAACATAGATTCTAATGATAGGTGCACATGCATACAGACATAACAAACATTCTAATGATAGGTGCACATGCATACAGACACAACATACATTCTAATGATAGGTGCACATGCACACAGACACACAACATACATTCTAATGATAGGTGCACATGCATACAGACACACAACATACATTCTAATAATAGGTTCACATGCACACAGACACACAACATACATTCTAATGATAGGTTCACATGCATACAGACACATAACATACATTCTAATGATAGGTTCACATGCATACAGACACATAACATACATTCTAATGATAGGTTCACATGCATACAGACACTAACATACATTCTAATGATATGTTCACCTGCATACAGACACACAACATACATTCTAATGATAGGTTCACATGCATACAGACACTTAACATACATTCTAATGATAGGTTCACATGCATACAGACACTAACATACATTCTAATGATATGTTCACCTGCATACAGACACACAACATACATTCTAATGATAGGTGCACATGCACACAGACACACAACATACATTCTAATAATAGGTTCACATGCACACAGATACACAAAATACATTCTAATGATAGGTTCACATGCACACAGATACACAAAATACATTCTAATGATAGGTTCACATGCATACAGACACATCATACATTCTAATGATAGGTTCACATGCATACAGACACATAACATACATTCTAATGATAGGTTCACATGCATACAGACACACAACATACATTCTAATGATAGGTTTACATGCATACAGACACACAACATACATTCTAATGATAGGTTCACATGCATACAGACACACAACATACATTCTAATGATAGGTTCACATGCATACAGACACACAACATACATTCTAATGATAGGTTCACATGCATACAGACACACACAACATACATTCTAATGATAGGTTCACATGCATACAGACACACAACATACATTCTAATGATAGGTTCACATGCATACAGACACACAACATACATTCTAATGATAGGTTCACATGCATACAGACACACAACATACATTCGGATGACAGATGCACCTGCATGCTCATACACAACACACATTCTGATGAAAGGTGTGATTTTTAAAGGTTTGCATCAGAGGTCTCCATCTAAGATGTTGACTTTACCTCATGTTCTGAAGGCCATGGGTTTGTTCCATGAATTGTGTCACTCAGTTCACAAGTGCAATTTTTTGCAGAGCCTCCTGGGATTTGTTGCTGAACCCATAGTGTTTGCTGTGCTCAATATTCTTGGTAGGCAGCTAGCCATTCTAAAGACCAGTGGTTCTCAACTTCCTAATGCCTAGTCACTTTAATACAGTAGCTCACATTGTGGCGACCCTCAAACATACAATTATTATCACTGCTACTTCATAGCATCAATAAATATGTGTTTTCCTATGGTCTTACATGACCTTTGTCAAAGTGTCGTTCGACCCCCCAAAAGGATAGTGACACACAAGTTGAAAACCACTGCTACAGACAAACCCTATTGGATAAAACGCTGCAAAATAAAGCTGACAACTATAAACCTTTCAAAGGTCTGTGTTAAAATCAATGCATAAAAACAATAACATAAGCTATATTTATACTCCCTCTCATCGTTCTATATAATGTTCTATTTTCATTAGCCATTGTCAGTCAATTATTGTTAGCTATTCTGGCAGAGGCAGACCAAGAGAAACGGTGGTGGATTGGTTAAGACAGTGGCAGGGAGGAATATCATCTGTGGAACTGATCCAGAACATCAAAGACCGAGATATGTGGAGATGCATAAACGCCAGGCCAGCTAGCAAGGCACTTGATGATGATGATGATGATGATGATATTTATACTGATGTACTCCATATACAGCATTGCAAACAGTACCTTACAGCAGTCAAGTACTTGAAATTTGCTTACTCTCTCTCTCTCTCTCTCTCTCTCTCTCTCTCTCTATATATATATATATATATATATATATATATATATATATATATATATATATATATATATATATACACACACACACATTTAAATATATATATATACACATACATACATATATACAAACATACATATATATACACATACATACATATATACAAAACATATTATATATATATATATATATAATATATATATATATATATATATAATATATATATATATATATATATATATATATATATATATATATATATATATATACACACACACATACATATATACACACACACACACAAACACACATATATATTTATATATATATATACACACATACATACATACATATATACACACACAAACACACATATATATTTATATACTCATACACACATATATATATATACACACATACACACACATACAAACACACACACACACATATATATATATATATATACCAACTGTATCAGAATGACTGACTAGAATATTATTGATATAAATACTAATACTACTCCTACTCCTACAGCTCTGCTGCTGCTGCTATTAATGTTGCCAGAAATCGTGGTACTTACTTTTTGCTGACCTCCAGGTATGTCATGTCCAGTTTGTGAACAGACTTAAACACCATGGTGTTATTCTGCACCAAATTCTCTTTGACATCAGGTGTGATCAACGGGGAGCACGTGGCCAAAAAGACACTCTGGCTGTCACTGGAGCATGCAGAGTCAGCGCTGCTGGCCTCCAGAAAATGTCCCCGTATATGCATTACCTTGAAAAGAGAACATCAGTTACACTGTTCTACATTTGCCAGGAATAGACTGGGATCCTAAAATAAGTTTCAGAATACTTATTTTTGTGTGTGTTTTCCTTGTAGTTGATTTAGATTCAGGATATGTATTCGGTGTGGACATGACACTAGCTTAGTTTACATCTGCAAGTGCCAGATGCATCTTTATGCTGAGCCTCCAAGGACATGTCCTTGAGAAATGCATTATTTGCCCTATTTTAAATGTGTGTGTGTGTGTGTGCGCGCGCGTGCGCGCGCGTGCGCACACAAAGATTGTTATTATTAATATTTTTGTTGCTGCAAATGTTATCTTCTGTCACAGGCCTTTAACTGTTTCAATCACAGACACAATCTTTTTTGTCATACCTATTCTCCCTTGTGGACAATCAGCAAACAAACCAAACTATTCACTGAGATGTGCTTCTAAAGAAAACTAAAAAAAATATCTAGACAGCCAGACAAGTAATAAAGATGCGTTGAAAGAGGCTAAGACATTTATCAATGAAAGAGGCTAAGACCCGAATACAACTTATAAATGAAAGAGGCTACGACCTAAAGACAACTTATCAAAGAAAGAGGCTAAGACCCGAAGACAACTCATCAATGAAAGAGGCTAAGACACGAAGACAACTTACCAATGAAAGAGGCTAAGAAGACACGAAGACAACTTATCAATGAAAGAGGCTTAGACCCAAAAACAACTCATCAATGAAAGAGGCTAAGACACGCAGAAACCTTATCAATCAAAGAGGCTGAGACCCGAAGACATAAATGAAAGAGACTTAGACCCCAAAACAAACCATCAATAAAAGAGGCTAAGACACGAAGAAAACTTATTAATGAAAGAGGCTAAGACACGAAGACAACTTATCAATGAAAGAGGCTAAGACCCTAAAACAACTTATTAATGAAAGAGGCTAAGACCTGAAGACAACTTATCAATGAAAGAGGCTAAGACCCGAAAAACAACTTATTAATGAAAGAGGCTAAGACACGAAAACAACTTATTAATGAAAAAGGCTAAGACCCGAAAACAACTTATTAATGAAAGAGGCTAAGACCCGAAAACAACTTATTAATGAAAGAGGCTAAGACACGAAGACAACTTATCAATGAAAGAGGCTAAGACCCGAAAACAACTTATTAATTAAAGAGGCTAAGAAACAAGAAACTTTTAAATGAAATGAAAGAGGCTAAGTCCCGAAGACAACTTATGAAAGAGGCTTAGACATGAAGACAACTTATCAATGTAAAAAGCTATGAACTTAAGACAACTTAACAAACTTATTAGAAATAGACAGTTGTCACATTGTTTGGTCACATTTTTAAAAGAGATTCCAAAAAAAAAAAAAAAAAAAAGAATCTACTGGAAATACTTATAGACAGAGAGACAAAGAAGGACACCAAGATAAGATTCTTAGCAGTCTTTTGTAACAGCATGGAAGTGTGTCATAACATAAACTAACACATGTTGCTACAGATCGCAAGATGTCAAGAAGCGTCATCGCCAACACCTGTCGGGAAAGTAATTGACGCTGATGGTGATTTTGATTTCACAAACATAAGGATGAGAAAATAACCACCGTCTTTGCTAAATGTTTTCCCATTAACGAACGAGCCTGTCGCTAAACCAGTACTCTCGACTTCAGGAGATCAAAAGAACATGCTAATTCTCCTAGACTCGCTGGCTGTGTACACGCGTGTAGCGTCTTCTATCGGTTCCCACCGCCCGCTATGGGTAATCTGAGACGGATAGATACATATTGTCGATATACAACATAGGCTACGGGGAGCGGCGGCCGGCCCGGCATTCATTAGGTCATTAATTACTGTACAGCTATAAACGTCGTTTGTCGGCATTTACTAGTCCCCTTTTGGGCAACTCCAGATCCAAAAATAGCACAGATTCATTGAGAAACCGCCACACTACATCATTCCTGGACAAGCAGTAGACAGATATGTCCTTTGGCGATCGTAGCAAATTGCACTAGGCTCGACATAAAGGCTGTTTAAGCTCACCGAAAACGCGATGCGAGCGTATGTTACGGTAATCTGTTGTATGAGGCCGCTGGCCATCAAGTCATGAATGCCCAAATAACCAGGGGAAAAAAAATGCAACCACACAGTAGAAACATCTTAGGGGGTTGCGTTATGCGTTTACAATTACTGGCCACGACACATCAGATGGAAGAATTCTCGAAATTATCTAGTATCCATTTCACTTCTTTCTCTTATTCTTCGCGTTAACCGGCTGTAAACTCAGGTGAAAAATTATGGTTGTTCGTCCACTTGTAGACAGTAGTTCTGTTTCAGCACCTGCGTGTTGCGTGCACATCCGTTTTACATGGTTTTGGATAAGCAGTGCGTCTATTCTTGTTTTCTCCCACACGGGCAGTATCCATTTTATAAGACTAGGTTAAACAACCAACAATCATTTTCGTACTTCTTCGCTTTACGAGCAATATCTTGGCTCATTCAATGCACTGTAAAGAAATTAAGACATAGCTTTCCAAACTCCGTGTCCCGAAACATTAGTGTGTCGGCTGCAGTGTGAAGATGTGTCGCGCGAACGTAAAGTGTTAAAGAGAATCACAAGCAGGCAACATCGCAGTTATTGGCTTGATTCGATTTATGTTATTACTGTTATTCTTATATTATAACAATAACATTTATCTTGGAAATATTATTATTAACATATACAAAGAGTTTTCACAAATTAAGATGTGTCGTAAAACATTTCGCTTTTACAATTTATGCGTGTCTGTATATTTGTTTAAGACAGAGGTGGCTACACGAAAAGCAACTGCTGGGAGACTGTTTCGGGCCATAAACCGAGAATTTGTCAGCACAAGAGAAACTGACAAGAGGACGAACAAGGTTGTTTACCGCTCTACCAAGGTGCCAGTCTTGACCTAAGATAAAAGCAGCCGTGAGCAACGACAACAGTTTACAAAAGCCAGCTTCAGGCCTTAGAAATAAGATATTTGAGAAAGGTGGTCTAAGTGATAATAAGGGACAACGTCCGCAATCAGACAATACATCAGGATCTTGAAACCCAGGTCCTACAAACCCGAGTGGATCAGTCATAGTTGTGATAGTTTAGACATTATGTAGAATGGGAGAGAACCGGCCGCCATGACAGGCATGGAAGGCAACAGGGAACCAGACCTCCAGGGCGACCCAGGGTTCGCTGGGAAGACAAAATCCGGACAGAGGACTAGTAAAAATAAAACTGTAGATAGAGATGTTTGGTCGATCTCTATGAGGTTTAAACAACAGATAAACATTATGGCACACGGGTAGCAATCCACAAGTGCTTCGTTCTTCTTCCAACTCAAGTCGGAGTCCGAAAAAGCTCAGCAAAGTGCACAGGCGAGGATCTTGAAATACTTTGGGTGGATTTTTAACTCAAAATTTTGCTCGGGCAGCGCCGTTAGGCTACTCTTTTCGATTTCCAACTGCCAAGGAATTCTTTTTTACGCGCACAACAATGCAAATGGGCGTCCGATCTCACTACCCAGAGACCAAGAGGAATTACTTGAAGTTCAAATCCACGTGAAAAAAATCCCAGCCCTTAGTGGGAATTGAAACCATAACCTCTAGCACTCGAGGCGGACACCATGCCTCGAAACCACGCAGCTCGCAGATCTCTCTGGCAAACCTCTACACCCCAAAGCAGAAGAAGATCCACTAAGTGAGTTAGTAAGTAAGTCTGTATCACTTATAATTGGGTTAATTTAGCCTTAGGTTTGCTGAAATACTGAAATTATGTTTGTCGAAAATGTGCGTCACCAACATGACCAATTTCGACATCCCTGAATTAAGGGAACATCCTTCTAGTGACAATTATCCCTGCAGTTTTTGTATGAGTAAAAACACTTAACATTGCTGCCTGGTTGTCTCCTCTTATATCTGCATTGCGAGAAGGACAGAGGTTAGTGTCATGACAGCTAGCGAAGTCATCAGGTTTGTGATCAGGTGCCACTGATTCATCACTTGATGCAAAGCTTTAGTAAAAGCAAACAGAAGATCCCCCCCCCCCCCCCCCGCCACAACCACCATCACCAGCCAAAAACCGAAATACTTAGTTGAGGAAACTGGGGAAAGAGGAGGAGGAGGAGGAGAAAAAAAAGAGAAGGAAAAAAATAAAATACCGTAGCGGTATTAAAAGCCACAATGGTTTAGTTAACTTAGTATTGATGGAAGGTTTAATATATGGGAGAATAGACAGGAGCTGTCAGTGAATATGATAGATACAGGGCATCAGGAGTACCTTAGGCACGAACATCCCCCTCCCAATACCCCTTTCCCGTCCGCGACTCTATGCGTCTAATTCATGTAATCTGTTTACAGTACTCGCCTGTGTCTTGGGGAACAACACACACACACACAGTGGATTATTAATACACTCTTTACTAAGCAACTCGAAAATGTCAAAGAGGAAGACCAAGATATAAATTACATTAAGGGCTTGGCTGCATAAACGGGACAAAAACACATACCTGGTCAGAGGCTCCCCCTTTCTCAAATGAAAATCCCTTTACTCAAATTTTGTCTCTTAAGTGTTTGTTTATACACTGCACATTAGCACCTGGGTGTAACCAGAGGGTCTGACCGGCTCACTACACTCAGAGGACAAGACGGACATATAACCAGATTGCGACTAGCACCATCAGTATTTGAGCTCTGAGCTGGCTGCTGAAGATGAGGACAGAGCACGCATGGGAATGCCCCGAGTGCTGTGATGTCAATTATTGACTCAACTCAACACTGCACATTAGTACATTTATTTGTTATTCAGCACATTATTATTACACATTTAATCAAGACCTGCCTCTCAAAGGCCAACCCCACGTCCTCGTCGTGAGAGGTGGTAACAGGACAAAGTAGGGGATTGCTAGGTGTGGGCGAAGTATGGTGTGGCCTCGTGCCACGGGACCGCTACGGTAGCCATGAAGGCCACCCTGGGTCACCCCGAAACG